CCGCCCCACGGCGCCCTTCCTGGCCCTAAAAGCCTTGAGCTCCGTAGGGGTTGGCAGCTGGTTCGTGCTGGGTCACCCTGACCTCACGTGCCTGTTCTCTGCGTCACCCCATCTGCTCTGCCCATCGTCCTGCCTCCCAGACGGGGATGGATGGTCCCTACATGCTGCTGGGGCACTGATGGTCCCTTGCTTTCTAGGACTGGCCATCGACTACCCAGAGAGCAAACTGTACTGGATCAGCTCTGGCAATGGCACCATCAATAGGTGCAACCTGGATGGCAGCAATCTGGAGGTGATCGAGTCCATCAAGAGTCAGCTGAGCAAGGCGACCGCCCTGGCCATCATGGGTGAGAGCTGGCAGGGTGGTGGGTGCCGTTCACAAAGCCCTTTCCTTTCCTCCTGGCCCTGCCCAAGCACAGGCTGCTTGTGGCCACCTCTAGCAGCAGTGCAGGGGATGCTTCTCCACCAAAGGCTGAGCTCAGGCCCCTTTTTCCAGGCTCTAAATCTGTGTGGATCCACTGCTCTTTGCTCCTGGGGTGGGAGGGGAGGGGGGAAAGCTGCTGCATGTTCCTGTCTTCTCCTCCCAGGCGACAAGCTCTGGTGGGCTGACCAGGCCTCCGAGAGGATGGGCACCTGCAACAAGAAGGACGGGACGGAGGTGACGGTGCTGCGCAACAGCACCACGCTGGTGATGCACATGAAGGTGTACGACGAGAGCATCCAGCAAGGTGAGCACAGGGCTGGGCAGTGGCTGTGGGGCCAGTGGGGCCAGAGCTGGACCATGGTGTCCTGGTGGCTCTCGGAGCCCATCCTCAACCCCTTTCTCTGTCCATGGCAGCTGGAACCAACCCCTGCAGCCAGAATAATGGGGACTGCTCTCAGCTCTGCCTCCCCACTTCTGAGACCTCCCGGTCCTGCATGTGCACTGCGGGCTACAGCCTGAAGAGCGGGCAGCAGTCCTGCGAAGGTGAGCACAGAGACCCCCCATACCTGCTGCACACCCCAGCTCTGCTGTGCCACATGGTGCTGTGCAGACATGGAATCATGGAATCAGATATTGGAAGCTGCTCTGAGGTCTCCCCGCAGCTTCTCTTCTCCATGTCTGCTGGTGCTGCATGGGGAGCTGCTTTGGCTTCGGCTGCTTATGGGCTCCCCTGACTGCCCTGTGCTGTAGAGAGGCACTGGGGGGACACTGGGGACCCTCGGGTGGGCTGTTCCTGCAGCGATATCATGGGCACTGGGGGCTCTGGGCTCAGCAAGAGGGGGGGCCCTCGGAGAACTGGTTGAAGCCCTGCTGACGTCAGCGGGTTTGGATCACTGGGAACGGGGCTGGGAGGCGTTTGCTCTGCACATCCCCAGTCTCGGCCGAGTTTGCCATCATCTCCCTTGGGAGGGAAGAGCCTGGTCACTGCCAGGGCCTCTCAAAGGCTGTTTGTGTGCAGAATGTTCTTGGTGTTTTTGGAGGGCGCTGGCAGAGCTGCTGCACCATCTGGGTCAGGGCAGGGACTGAATAACAAGCACTGCCCTGACCCAGATGCGGCGCAGAGCCTTTGCCAGCGCTCTGGAAAGAGGCTTTGCTCATTCCTCCCCTGTGCCCTGCGTGGATCAGGACCCCTCAGACAGGCTCCTCTGGGGCTTTCTGCCCCCAGGGGGACCAGGATAAGGCTTGTACACAGCCCCCTTGCAGAGCTGAGCAGGGAAGGGCTTTGAGGCTGTTCATTGTGTTCCTGCCCCAGCCACCCACAGCCTCATCCCAGACTCTGTGTGGTTTAGAGTGGGTTGTTCCCTGCCCTCTTTCCATAAGCTTTGCCATCCCTTCCCCTGCCCAGCGTGGTGGTGAAAGCCATCCTTTTCCTCCTTATGTTCATCCTGGTTAGTCCCTGGCATGCAGGGACCCAAGTGAAGCAGGGGCACCCCTCCTTCCTGGAGAAAGCACAGTGCTGCCCATGTAAGTGTGTCACCCCACACCATCCGTGTTACAGGTGTTGGCTCCTTCCTCCTGTATTCAGTCCACGAGGGGATACGTGGCATTCCCCTGGACCCCAATGACAAGTCAGATGCTCTCGTGCCTGTGTCAGGAACCTCCTTGGCTGTGGGGATCGACTTCCATGCAGGTGATGCAGGGGCTGGGAGTGGGACAACGGGGCTGGAGAGGCTGAGGAGTGTGAGGGGACTGTCCCCAGACGCTCCTCTGCCCTATAGCATCTCCCCTCAGCAGCTCTGGGGGAGGGTTCCAGGTCCTCACACTGGGGCCTTGGGGTGCTCAGCCTGGGTCTGTGCTGCTCTTGGGGTGACCTAAAGGTGGTCACTGACACCCCTTCTCCTGCCTGGCAGAGAATGACACCATTTACTGGGTGGACATGGGTCTGAGCACCATCAGCAGGGCCAAGCGGGACCAGACGTGGCGGGAGGACGTGGTCACCAACGGCATTGGCCGCGTGGAGGGCATTGCTGTGGACTGGATCGCCGGTGAGATGGGGCTCCGGAGCAGGGAGGAGCGGGTGGGAACAGGGCTCAAGGCTGTGTTCACCATCCCCTCTCTGCAGGAAACATCTACTGGACGGACCAGGGCTTTGATGTGATCGAGGTGGCCAGGCTGAATGGGTCCTTCCGCTACGTGGTCATCTCACAGGGGTTGGACAAGCCGCGGGCCATCACGGTCCATCCAGAGAAGGGGTGAGACACTGCACAAAGCTGCCCAAAGCAGCTGGGTTTAACTGAGCTTCCTGGGAGCAACCCGTGACTTCATGGCTGCCAGCATCTCAGAAAGTCCAAGTGGAGCCTCCCCAGACCAGCTCCAGCTCTGGCCAGACACAGGGAGAGGATTGTTGTTTGGATGCGGGGAAGGATGGAGGACATGGGATGTTTGTGCCTGGTTTCTGGGCTGCATCCAGCTGAACGCAGTGCTCCTTTCCCTGCGAGCACATGGGATCCTGGCAGGGCAGGAGGGATGAGGGGGAGAAACGTTTGTCTAAAAGGCCTGAGGGTGCTGCTCCTGCCCATCCCCTTGGTCACATCCGTGCTGTCCCCTGCAGGTACCTGTTCTGGACAGAGTGGGGGCAGTACCCCCGCATTGAACGCTCACGCCTGGATGGCACCGAGCGGATGGTGCTGGTTAACGTCAGCATCAGTTGGCCTAATGGGATATCCGTCGACTACGAGGTACAGTGGGCCCAGGGGTCCCTCCAGCCCTGCTCCTCCTGGTGGGACAGGGCTTTGCCAGGGCCATGGAGGCTCCTCTGCAGTGCAGGGAGGGTTGTTCCAAAGGAACCCTGGCACCTTCCCATGTGGTGGGAGATGCAGAGGGTGCCTTAGTGCCACCCCAGTGCACTGCTCCATTGCTGACTCAGCTGCTTTCTCATCACCTCAGGATGGGAAACTTTACTGGTGCGATGCGCGGACGGACAAGATTGAACGTATTGACCTGGAGACGGGTGAAAACCGAGAGGTTGTTCTGTCCAGCAACAACATGGACATGTTCTCCGTGTCGGTCTTTGAGGAGTACATTTACTGGAGCGACAGGTACAGGGTCCGAGGGATGTGGTGGTGTTGGGGGTGCCTCGGAAAGTGGGTGCTATGGGTCCCACCACAGGGTGCTGCTGGGTTTGGCCCCGTATCGGTCGCTCACTGGCTCCATCCCTTCTTTAGGACTCACGCCAATGGCTCCATCAAAAGAGGCAACAAGGACAACGCCACCGAGTCGGTGTCCCTGCGGACGGGGATCGGTGTGCAGCTCAAGGACATCAAAGTCTTCAACCGGGCCAGGCAGAAGGGTGCGTGGGGAGCAGGGGGTCAGCGTCCTCCGGGAATGGGGGAGCGGGGAATAGCGGCTGAGCGCTGGGGGAGCATCCCACCCGCAGAGCCTGCCCAGCCCCTCCAACAGTCCCCCTGTTCCTCCCCAGGCACCAACATCTGTGCCCAGAACAACGGGGGCTGCCAGCAGCTCTGCCTGTTCCGTGGCAGCGGGCAGCGGACGTGTGCCTGCGCCCATGGCATGCTGTCCGAGGACGGGGTGAGCTGCCGGGACTACGATGGTTACCTGCTGTACTCGGAGCGCACCATCCTCAAGAGCATCCACCTGTCAGACGAGAACAACCTCAACGCGCCCATCAAGCCCTTCGAGGACGCGGAGCACATGAAGAACGTCATTGCCTTGGCCTTTGACTACCGCTACGGCTCCAAGGGCAGCAACCGCATATTCTACAGCGACATCCACTTCGGAAACATCCAGCAGATCAACGACGATGGCACTGGGCGCAAGACCATCGTGGAGAGTGAGTGTCGCAGGCGGCCCTCTTTGAGCCCTCGGACCCCTCTTTTGTGTTCTCCTCAACCACTTCTTCCTGAACTCCCTCTTTCCTCACCCAAAGTTAAAGTGTTTTGGTGTTTGGGAGGCGCTTGGAGTGGGAGATGTTAAGGGTTCAGCTATGAGCTTTCTCCTAAAGCCTCTGGAAGAGGCAGCAGCCTGTGGTGGAGGACGCAGGGATCAGGAGCAGCCTTGCAGAGCTTGTTCTGGCAAGGAGAGCGTATCACGAGGCTGAGGCGTGCACGTGGGTAGGCACTGCTCTAGAAACAAGGCACTGCAGCAAATCTGGGAGCTGCTCCCTGTTTGCATTTGACTTCCAAGACAGACCCGCTGAGCCTGAGCAAACCTTGCCCCACCCTCACCTCCAGCCTCTGTTTGCGCTCAGATGGTTGCATTGGCTCCTGCAGCAGTTGAAAGCCCACGTCTGCTGCTCTGCCGCTGGGGAGCATCTCCAGCAAGGGTTATAGATGTGCTTGCTAATGAAGGTATTTGCATTTGGCACCTGGGACAGCCGCTGTCACTGAGATCGGGAGGGCAGGGCCCAGCTCTCACAGATGGTTCATTAAGCCTTTTGCTGGTCCTTAGGGAGGAAGGATGGGTGAGCAGTTCAAGTTCCTGGCCTGGGAGCTGGAGAGAAGGACTTCCTGGTCGACCACAAGTCTTTGTCCTGTCACCTTGTGCCTCTGGGTGTCAGCTCTCCCCTAGCAGAGGGAGACCCTTTCCCTTCCCAGTGCAGATGCTGTGGGGACAGGGGGACCAGGACTGGCCAGTGCAGGGCTGATGATCAGAGCACAGGTTCAACACCTTGTTTTGTTGTCAGTGAACATTGCTCAGCCTTCCTCTAAGGAAGTGTCGTTGCTGGGTTGGTAAAGCCCAGGAGGCTCCTCAATGAGATGTGGTCCCATCTCACCCCTTAGCACAGACACCAGCCCAGTCCTGCACCCTTCAGGTGGCGTTAGAAGCAGCCAGAGCCTCTGGGGGGGCGTGTAATTAGAAGCAATAACTTCAGGTTGCCAAAGAAGATGCATCTGGGTGTCACAGTCAGTGCGGGCTGACATGCCCCTGGCCTGTACCTCCCCCTGCAGACGTGGGCTCGGTGGAGGGGCTGGCGTACCACCGCGGCTGGGACACCCCCCCCACCACCCCCCGCCACACCGTGGACCAGAGCCGCCTGGGCGCCTTCGAGAGGGAGACGGTGATCACCATGTCGGGGGACGATCACCCCCGCGCCTTCGTGCTGGATGAGTGTCAGAAGTGAGTGGCCATGCGAGGTCCCCAGGGCCAGCATCCAGGACACCCCCCCACTGGGGTGGAAGCACCGGTTCCCAGCAGAGAGGGTGTTGGACCCACAGAGGAAAGGCCCTGTGCCTGGCTCCCCACACATCGCTCAGCACCCCGAAGTCCCATCCCCTTCCCTGCCTGGCTGGCTCCATGGGGTACCACGTTTTCCCTCTCCCACCCCACAACATCCCATCCACCCTAAAGTCCCTGGAGGCCCCACAGCAGAGGGGTGGGCTGAGCCAATGTGTACGTAGCAGAGAGTTGAGGTTGTAAAGCCATTGCGTGTCTCTCCCCTTCCAGCCTGATGTTCTGGACCAACTGGAATGAGCAGCACCCCAGCATCATGCGTGCCACCCTCTCTGGTGCCAACGTCCTCATCATCATTGACCAGGACATACGGACACCCAATGGGCTGGCCATTGACCACAAGGCTGAGAAGATCTACTTCTCTGATGCCACACTGGACAAAATCGAGCGCTGTGAATACGACGGCTCCCACCGCCACGTGAGTGCAGGGATGGGGCTGGCGCGTTGTCCGAGGGCGTGGGGGACACACGGGGACACGTTGCCTTTGGGGTGGTCTCCCTCGTGCTCACAGTGTGTCCATGTCTGGTAGGTGATCCTGAAATCAGAGCCCGTGCACCCCTTTGGCCTGGCTGTCTACGGTGATTACATCTTCTGGACGGACTGGGTGCGCAGGGCTGTGCAACGAGCCAACAAGTACGTGGGCACCGACATGAAGCTCCTGCGTGTTGACATCCCCCAGCAGCCCATGGGCATCATTGCTGTGGCCAACGACACGGACAGCTGTAAGGATGCAGAGACCCCTGCCTCTGCTCCCTCCCCGGCAGTGACAGGGGAGGGGCACCCGTCCCACCATCCTTTGTGGCCTCCCTTTGCCCCTTCAGGACCCTCACTCTACGGCATTTCCATCTCCAACCCTGTGCAGGCTGGAGGGTTCCCTGTTTGTTTGCTTTTCCCAGGGCATCCTCCTTGCAAGATCAGGGAAGACTGGGTACCCCAGCGCTGTGCATCCCCATAGCCCCACCTGAAGAGCCTGGGGAGGACGAGGGGAAGGGACTGTAGGTTCTGTCCTTGGTGTGACTTGCTCTCCCTCTGTCCTAGGTGAGCTGTCCCCGTGCAGGGTGAACAATGGTGGCTGCCAGGATCTCTGCCTGCTCACGCCCAAAGGGCACGTCAACTGCTCCTGCCGTGGGGAGCGTGTCCTGCAGGAGGATTTCACCTGCAAAGGTGGTGGGGATGTGGAAGGAGGAGCTGGTGGGGATGGGAAGGGCAGGAGAGGCCGGTCTCTGACGTTCATCCATGTCCTTCGCAGCTCTGAATTCCACCTGCAACGTGCACGAGTTCGAATGTGGGAACGGCGACTGCATTGACTTCAGCCGAACCTGCGATGGTGTCGTCCACTGCAAGGACAAGTCAGATGAGAAGCAGTCCTACTGCAGTAAGGTTCCTCCTCTTGCTGCTTTGATCACACACACATGCACCCCCTGCACCCTGCTCGAGCTGTCAGCTCTGCCTGGCAAAGGGAGACAGGACTCTTCTGTGTCTTCTTCTGTCCCTCTTGCCCTCCCAGAGATGGGCTCATCCAGGCTTTAAGGGCTCCAGACTGATCCCAGTTTGGGGGGGGGCAGGCTGGAGAGTGGGACACCTTAAGCTGAACCAGGGGGGCTGCAGCACCCCTTGTCTAACACTGACCTGGAGAGGTCTCAGCTGGGCAAAGGCCATGCTTCACCCTGTGATGCTGCCAGCACAGGGAGCCTGCCTGCTAATCCTGCCTGCTGCTTCTTCCTGCTG